TTAACCCCACAACTTTGCTCTCTACACGCGCGGAGGAAACACTAGATAACGGTTGCAAGAAAATTAAGTTCGTAGCAGATTCAGGCGCCACAGAACATTTTGCTAATTCTAAACTCTATTTCAAAAATTTTCATAAATGTAAAAATAAATTAATTAAATGCGCGAACAAAGATTCCTCCGCGGACTTGAGAGCGGAGGGAGAAGGGTGCGTTTCGGGTAAAAATAACCAAAACAAGATAATCCTAGATAGAGTTGTATGCGCTAAGGCACTTGCTGGAAACTTGCTGTCGCTTCGCCGTTTTGCTGAAAGGGGCATGAGTATATACCTTGATAACACAAAACTAGATATATTTGATCCGCGTTCTAATGAAACTATAATTTCTGGTGTCTACAAGAGCCCTTACTGGATAGTAGAACTACTGCAAGATGGCCAGAGCACAAGTAATAATGAGAAGTGCAGAGAAATTATAGACTGCTTAATGGTAGAAAATCCCCTGAAAGCAAAGACTGAGAAGGTTCAGCAAGTCAGCACTAATGATAGGAGCTGCCCTGGAATCTCAAGTAATGAATCAGGAAGAGCTGGTTCACACAGCTCTCATCAGAGTGAGTTTAAGAAAACAATTAAAGATAGAAAAATCAATAATTGTGATGACCAATAACATCACCATCATTGTTATGAGATAAGGAAATAACATCCACAACTTCGCTGGAAACGACATTTTTTTCAACTTTTCCTAGCGACTTGTTAATTTTAGGCATGATTGGGCTATTCTCTTTTTCGATATTCCAAGATCTTTTAAGTGATGATTTTTTAATACCGTCATTTTGATCAGGATTTTTTAATGTGTTTGATGTTTGTTAGATGTATTGTTGGCACTCGTAACTGAATTATTGCGCATGCGCAGCAGCGGGAGGACGAGACGCTGTGACGCTGCACTTCAGCATCAAGTAGCTTCGGTTTTTGTTTACTCTCGCGCAGTCAGCCAGTCTGTTCATACACGCATTCTCTGCCTTCCCATTTCTCTTTACGTTTTAGTTTACTTTTTCTGTTCGCTTAACTTTTGTACTCAAGATAGTAAAGTATAAAGATAGTCCAAACTTAAGATAGTGTAAATAAACGTGTTCAACATTATTCTATATTTCAAGTGTGTTTTTTATTCGCCAAGTCACCTGCCTAACCCCATACTGCTAACAATGTTACAGAGAGAGGATTTGAAGTTTCATTAAACTTATTCTCGGTCAACGGTTCTATGTCTTCTTTTTAAAAAATATTATCATTATCATTACTGGCTTCAAGTCAAAATTGTGGTTTAGTAGCTGACAGTATATACAAATTAATTCTTGAAGTATTTATGTTATAATAACCATAGTACTTGAAAATTCCAACTTCTTTTCCATCAATAGTAAATTCTACTTTATCATCAGTGTTGAAACCAATAATACAATCTGAATGTTCGAAGATAGATTTGCTTACATCACTATGGAATAATTATTTCCCTTCTGCAAGCAGCTCATTTGACAGGTAATCTTTTGATCGATCAAGCTTAAGAGTTTTTAAACCACCACCATTCATTTCGTTTCTACGTACGTACCGTTTTTCAGAACAGTAGCGATGTTTCCAACCTATATTTATAGTTTTGTACTTCGTTTTTTGTGAGTTAATTTTCCTTATACTCTATGAGAGTCGAGACGTAAAATTCCAAGAAAGGCTGGTGTTCAGAGATATCTGGAGAAAGGACAAAATAGCAAACTGGGGAAACCACAAGACAGATATTAAACAAGATGAATGGTTCGTTAAGTTGAATAAGCGCGTTCGGCCCAAGAAAGTTGAAGATCTTGGTCAAGAAAGCCCTAAGCAACTCGCTAGAATAAATGATACGAGTTTTGCAGGAGCCATCGACACAAACAAGTTGAATAAATTGCTCCAATCGAAGGGCGATGTTGACTGTTTAATCACAGAAGTTGAAGATGAAATGTCACATGCCCTGATTGCTGGACTAAACAAAGATCCCGCAAACTACAAAGAAACTATCGCATCTCCGGATCGCGATAAATGGCTCAGAGCAATTGATGAAGAACTGGAATCAATGCGGAAAAATAAAGTGTGGAAACTTGTAGAAAGACCAACCGTGAACGCTGAAGGTGGCAAGCCCAACATCATCGACTTTAGGTGGGTTCTGAAGAAAAAAATAGATAAAGATGGAAACACGAAGTTTAAAGCGAGGTTGGTGATTCGTGGCTTCAAAGATAAAAACAAGTACGATCTGCAAGAAACCTATGCCCCGGTGTCTGGGCTGGCCCTGGTAAGATCAGTAATATCAATAATAAATAAATACAATCTGGAGACTTGCCAACTTGATGTCAAGACAGCTTTCTTAAACGGATCTATCAAAGAAGAGATATATATGGAGATTTCTGAAGGCTTGCTTGATGGTGACAGTTTCAAGAAAACTTAGGTTTGTAAATTGGAAAACGCCCTTTATGGACTTAAGATCAGCCCAAAAAGATAGAATGAGCGGTTTCGCGAGACTGCATCTAAATTAGGACTACGGTCACATACGAGCGAGCCCTGTCTATATACATGAAAGAAGCCAATAACTTTCTAGTCCTGATCCTATACGTGGATGATATGATGATAGCCATCAATTGTGCAGGCAAAATGAATGAAATTAAAACTGGTCTGCAATCTGAGTTTGAGATATCAGATCTTGGCGAGGTTGGCACATTTCTAGGCATCAAAGTGGAAAGAGATAGAAAACTTCACACAATTTCACTGACACAAACACCATACATAGATAAAACGTTAGAGAAATTTGGATTCAATGAGTCAAAACCCCAAAGAACATCAATGGTGACAAATCAAGTTTTGAATCAGCAAAGAAAAGATAGAGAAGATTCTGAAGATGCTGGAGAGTTGAGCACAACGATAACGAGAATAAATATGCCATATAGAGAAGTAGTCGATAGTCTGCTGTATTTAGCCAACACAATTAGACCAGACATTTCATACTCGGTGAACGTACTGAGTAGACATCACATTGGCCCAACTGAAGATGATTGGAAAATGGTCAAACGGGTATTTCGATATTTACAACACACAAGGATCCTAGGATTAACTTACAGAGGCCGTAAAGATGGATTGAAAGCCTATTCAGATGCGAGTTTGGCAGACTGTAAAGGCTCAATAACGACAGGCAGATATCTCCTAAGACTGTATGGGGATACAGTTGCTTGGAAAACAAGAAAGCAGAATTATGTTGCTATTTCAACCTGCGAAGCAGAATATGTGGCAATGTGCGACGCAAGTCAAGAATTGATGGGACTGGAACACTCTATAAGTATTATATTGTCTCGCACCTTGTTGCCCGCGGATTTATGGTATGACAACAAAGCTGCCGGAGCAAGTGCTAAGATAGATGGTGGAAAAAGGCTGAGACACATGACCGAGATAAAGGCTAAGGAATGTGTATCCAGAGGAAAAATAATTGTTAAATGGATTCCATCCAAGGAACAACTAGCAGATATCTTTACAAAACCTCTGCCGTTTGAACTGCATGAAAGACTAACGAAAGAAATTTTGAATGTTAATTAGGGTAAAATGCATGATAATTAAATTTGAACTTAAGATAGTAAAATTAGTAAATTAATAATAGATAGATAATGATGGTAGACATGCTGATTAATGTATTTTCTGTGTATGTTTTAGCTCGTCGGAATCAACCACAATGAGTGATCCAGAAGCCCACGTGCTCCACATCATTGGCTGATTAAAACTCATTTATATTCAGTGTTCATGTTAAAATATATCCTTTCTTTCATTTTTATAAATTCAGATACGAACGGGAGGGAGTGTTAGATGTATTGTTGGCGCTCGTAACTGAATTATTGCGCATGCGCAGCAGCGGGAGGACGAGACGCTGTGACGCTGCACTTCAGCATCAAGTAGCTTCGGTTTTTGTTCACTCTCGCGCAGTCAGCCAGTCTGTTCATACACGCATTCTCTGCCTTCGCATTTCTCTTTACGTTTTAGTTTACTTTTTCTGTTCGCTTAACTTTTGTACTCAAGATAGTAAAGTATAAAGATAGTCCAAACTTAAGATAGTGTAAATAAACGTGTTTAATATAATTCTATATTTCAAGTGTGTTTTTATTCGCCAAGTCACCTGCCTAATCCCATACTGCTAACAG